CAAATTTGCAAAAAACGTCAGTTTCATGTTGGAATGTTTGAATGTCAAACGCTTTGGTTATCTCAATGACAAGTTTCATGTCGTCTGCATATATTGAGACATGAAGGAATTTCATAATGTGTTCTATATCGTTGACAAATAAAATAAACAGTAATGGACCACCAAGATGTGTACCTTGTGGCACACCTGATGTGACGTTAACTATGGTAGATACATTTCCTTCAAATCTTCTCTGTGATAAATATGACTCGATCCTTTTCAGTAGCCTGGGGTTGAAACCCAACTTGGATAGCGTAAAAAGGAAGAGCGGTATGTCAACTCTGTCAAATGCTTTACTAAAGTCAGTATATAACCTTTGAACATAGTTTTCTTTATCCATTACGTTTAGAGAAAAAGTTACCAAATGTATGAAGCTAGTAGCTGTGGACCTTTCCTTAACAAACCCATGTTGCTTGCTAGTAATTGAGGATTTAGCCTGCGAGAACCCCATGTCATTAATGATGGATTCGAATAGTTTAGGAATTAATTTAGTAATTTTGTAATTTGCTATATCAGACCTTTTCTCATTTTTAAAAGTTGGGATTGAAAATGATTCCATCCAAATTGAAGCCACACTGGAAGCCATAGAGGAATTTAATTACCAAACTAAAGGTTTAGCTAGCTCCTTTGAAAGTGAGTTTAGAAAATAGGTGGTAAACCATCTGGTCCAGCCCCCTTTGAAGCATCCAAGGTTTCAAGAGCACGAATGATTTCATCGAGGGATAAATTATCAACTGTAATGTTCATCATTGGCCATTGGAGATATGGCAAATATTGATAATCTCGCTTGTTCTCACCATGAGTTGCATAAATGTTCTGAAAAAATAATTAACTGATCTCATTAGGCGTGTGTACGTCTTGTTTTTATTTTATATATCTGTATTAAGCAGACTTTCAGCCCTGGGCTGGTTCTAAACTAAAAAAGATTTTTGGTCTGACCTATTTGTTTTATTGTGTTCTTCATTTGCAGTTTTTATCTCCAAAGTCAGCCTGAATAAATAAGCGAATTAAGAAAATAATACGTCGAAAAATTTGTGTGGACCGTACATACTTGATACCAGAGCTACCTTCCCCCCTTCAACAAGCTGTCTAGGTAGCTGATGAATGTACAGATTGCTTAATTTATTGAATAAGCAACCTCCGACTAGCACGCCGTCTGTTCGGAAACATTCTCAAGCATTCAAACGCTCACTGCCGAGTCACTCAGTACAATATCTTCTGCAAATAAGAAACGCATTAAAGTTGTGAAATGGCATCAAACACACTCAGAACACTCCGTCTGCGTCGTCGTCGTCGTCGGGAGAGTAGAAAGAATGAGTATCCGCTTTCTAGAAGTTCATATTCCTGCCAACTAAGCAAAGTGATACACGCTGCAGCAGCATCTTCCATCATTTTAGCTCATCTGCGGGGGCAAGACGACGCCTCCTGGTAGGTACCGGATGAGCCTTTTGTTTTTGTTCTTTCGACACCGTGCTTTGTTTGTGTTTTTTGCTGACTTCAGACAAATAGACAGCCCTCAAAGTAGCCAAGGTGAGGAAAGGGAAGAGAATGGACGACCGGGAGTTGGAAGACATTCTAAACCAATAAAATAAATACTTTAATACGGTTGGCTTCCAACCGATGCCGACGACAACGACCGAAGGACTCGAGACTTGAGTGCATTTTGAACTGGTTCTTTTTTGTATGGGTGCTTTATTTGGTTAGCAATAAATGCGTTTTACATCAACAAACATCATATAAAGAGCGTTTGAGCTTTGAGATGAATAATTCTATTTGCTCAACGTTCACCTGCGTGAATAGCGAGAACAAGGTTGGTGCTGCTTGTATTCGAACTGGAAATTGGAGAAAAAAAAATCGAGTCTTAATTGCCGGGGACGAAACCTTTCTCTACGCTCGAAGCACCTTCAACAAAAAAACAATCTGCCAGTAAACGTGTTCCTACTGAAAATCACAACTTCAAGCCGCCAATTTATGCTTGACCCTTTTTCCGCATTCAAACGTTTTATCCTCGGGAAACTGGAAACTTTCACGTTCTTGCGCCATCGCCTACAGGGGGGCACGTAATTTCGGACGAAAGCCCTTGTTTTTACTAGTTTTCTACTATTCCACCTTCTCCTCTTTTTTTTTTCGTGAAAAGAGCCCTGTTTTCATCGCTCATTCATGCGAATCGAAAATCGAGCTTGGCCATAAAATTATTGGTTCGTTAGATTTGGTCCCTCGGCAATCTTCCATGCTATAGTAGGTAGATAGATACGGCGCGATCCGGTCCACGATGTCTGGTTTGGGGGATCGGTTCAGTCGGCACTCTGCTGCAGTAACAGAGCATAGCATCAGAAGCATGTCTCATAATCCGTAGATTCGGTTCCCTGTTTTGTTTTTTTTTTCCAGGGCTGCACGACCGGAGCGTGATCATGCGCTGGTCAACTATTAGTAGAGACGGCGCGCGGCGAACCGCAAAGCAGTCAGCATAGTACCTCTATACCCCTAATAATAATATAGCACATCATCTTTCTGGTTTCTTTTCACACCATCCACCTAATTTGAGGTAAGGGCCTGTTTCTTGCTCCACAGAAGAAGCAGGGAGCAGTCAGTGCATTCGGAGTGCGCCGTATGGTTTGTGTTGTCCTCAATCGGTGTGGTATACGATTAAATCTAACCGGTCAACTAGACCCGTCCAAACTGCCATGTAAGTGAAACCACATTCTATCGTATCCATCAACTCCCACGAGCTCCACCCGGTCAGCAGTGGCAGAGTACACTTTCTTCTGAAAAACAAGCACATCGAAGGGTTTTGTACCCCAGAAGGGAACGGGCAGTTCTTTGAATCGAACGCGATGCCGAAGTAAACACTCGGAAGCATGGCCGGGACCACCTCCAGTCACCATAGTTGTAGCACTTTGAATATTTATTTTTTTCCGCCACCCCCAGCCCAACTTCTGCTCCAAATTCACCCAAAGGCATCCCGCCGATGATGGACCGCACTCTTCTGACGATGTGCATTTCCATTGCTCCATCTAGCCTTGCTTACCGATGATGCTCGACTGTCCCACTGACTTGAACTGGTGTCTTGCACTCAACAATGCCATTACAAGTCACTGCATGATGTAAACAAATAAATATAAGCCGAAGAAAATAATAATAAAAATCTAACTTATCACGATGCCAGACGCCTAGCTCGACTCGAACGAAAGCCCTTTCGCACGTTCCGTGGTTTTCATCTGCACCGTCGTCGTCGGTCGTCATTTTTCATTCGACCCGCGAGGCCTGTCCCCGTTCGTGTAGGAATGGACACACGATGCGGTGAAGCTGCGTAGAAAAGTCACTCCAATATCGCATTCGGTTTGATTGTGGCTGAAGATTGCTGGTAGCTAACTAAACGATTGCGTCAGGGAAAGTTTTCACGGAATAAAACATTGTACTCTGCGTAACTTATAAAATGTTATCAGGCAAACTTGATAAAAGCTTGTCTATAGTCTGAACAAATATTACAATTTCCTCCTTACTTTGGACATCTTTTAATTTTTTTCTATGAATATCTCTGTCTTTGGTATTAATAGTTGTTCACAAGCCAGCATTGACATCTGTTGACCACCCTGAAGTGCACTGTGGAAGATTTCCAAAGCAGGTGGACAAAAATTGTTGAAAGTCGTTTCAACGGAATAAGTTTCCAAAAAAGTATTCTCTGACCGACGGCAACACAACGCGAATGATCGGTTTTGGGAAAATATAATTTTCCTTTAAGATGACATCAATGTTATATACACACTTAGAAATACCTAATCGTCAAGTAGCAAACTTTTCAGTCTCGGAGCACTTAATTTTACATGGCATATTTGTTTACATCTGATCCTTTATGTCAAAGATGGATTCCATCATGCACAGCTAAAAAAAAAAGTAGTGTAAATTTCCGTTACTATGATGCACATAAATGGAGCGTCATATATCATACAAGTTTAGATTAAAGATCGTGTAAATTTATGAGACATGTCATGCAGTATTCTTTATATTGTATGCAACTGTCCACTTGCAAGCTGCTAGTTTACGTGAAAAGGAAGTTTACGTGTATCAATGTTTGCATGCATGGATGTTTACATCGCCAGTAAAATTCAGAATTTTTTGGTGTGTGTGTGTGTGTTAAATTAGTTATTTCTAAGTGTTTAGTTTATCGATATTGATTTAGATGGTATTTCTAGCTAGTAAGATTTACGTTTAGTTCCTTTCAGATATAACTCCCGGTTGGGATTTGAGTAGGTTCTCGACCAGATTAGTGTGCTTGTCCTATATTCGTTTGTACACACCAAAAAATTCTGAATTTTACTGGCGATGTAAACATCCATGCATGCAAACATTCATACATGTAAACTTCCTTTTCACGTAAACAAGCAGCTTGCAAGAAATGTTGCAAACAAAAGTGGACGGTTGCATACAATATATGGAATATTGCATGACAAATAAATTTACACGATCTATAATCTAAAATTGTATGATATATGACGCTCCATTTATGTTCATCATAGTAACGGAAATTTACACTACTTTTTTTAGCTGTGTAGCTTCGTTGGTTACGATTCGTTCCTTACGCGACCTCTTAGCAAAGAAATTCGCGACAATATCCTAAACAGTTTTAGATTTGTGGTTAGAATAAAGTCCAATAATTTCTCACCGATAGTTTTTAACTTAAGCTCTATCACTAATTTAAGGTAATTTAAGAAACTAAGATAATTTGAGAAATAGATGCATAAAATCACTTCTACTTATCAACGTGGGATTTGTAATCGTTATCTGGCTAATGTTTAATCTCTTCATCTTCGTCACTCACCCGGTGTGACAGGCTACGCTGTCACTCACTGCAGGGATGTTCCCAACGGCAGGTGCGCTATCGCCAGTGTGGCCAACACTCCCCCGCACCGAACGTCTAATACGGCTAACTTCGTCACCGGTGGGTCGTAAAAACCACTCACTGTCCTCACGGTTGCGGACCGTACCTGGCCGTCCTTACTGACTTTGATGCTTATGACTTTCTCCTTTGGCCAACAGTTGCGAGGCATGTTGGAATCGGCAAAGATCACAATATCGCCCACGGCGATCGGCTTCACCCGCTGAAACCACTTGGTATGGCGGGTAATATCTGGCAGATAGTCCGATACCCAATACTTCCAGTACTGGTTTGCAAGAATCTGCGATGTGCACCAGTTCTGCCTGAGGGTCACCACGGTATCGTCGAAATTAGTGAACGGTTTCGTCCCGTTGGATGAGCCGAGCAGAAAGTGGTTCGGTGTCAGTGCTGGTGCCGAATCTTCTATCGGCACATGCGTTAGCGGACGCAAATTCACGGTATTCTCTACTTCAATCAACATGTTGCGGAGTACTTTTTTTTTTTTTTTTTTATTGAAAAAGTTTAAAATTAAAATTACAAACAATTTTCCGTTATTTTTCTTCAGGTACCTGCAGTTCTTTTTCCTGTACCGGCATTTCTTGTTTTTCTTTTTTTTTCCTTTCACGGTTCTTAAACTAACATAGAACCTACGTTACACTTGGGAAACCGATTACCAGCGGCGTACTCGGGGTTAACACATTCACTCATGTACACTCATTCATATTCACTCACTCTATTTCATCCATACATATATAACCGAACACACGAATACAAGGGAAGGGAAACTTAGCCTAACTTAACCTATCTTAACCTAAAATTTTGTTCATTGCTTTCTTTACTTTTTCATATCACTGTTTTCATTGATTTTCTTAGCAAATATTTACACAATTTCCGAAATGTCGTCTAAAGAAATCTTTATGTTTCCACCTCATTTCTCTTATTTCGTTTTTGAAAACATACAGACTGGGATTAGGGTACCATTTCAAACAGAAGGAAATTCATCGTATAGCTAACCATAATGCTGCTTTTTCACGGTGGCTCTTGGTATCAATTTCAAATGCTAGCATATCTTCCAAGCTGTTTAAAACTATTTTACATTTGGTTTGAATAACATTTTTTGTAGAATTTGAAATTATTCTGGCCGACGGACACTCTTCGATTCTGTGTTTATTATTATCCGGTCGTGAGCATGTGTCGCAATTGCTATCATTTAGCCTTCCAATATTATAAGCTACTAGCTTTTCTTTATTAGCTATTATATTGTTACAAAATGCAAATATCCTCGATCTATCCTCAGATGCTATGAAATTGTAGTTGAAGTTTTTCCAGATTATATCCCACTCAATTTGAGGGAAATCGATTTTAACTTTAGGAATAATGTTTTTCTGTGATATTAAAAATCTGTAAATAGATGCTGTTGAATGTAAATCATTTTCTTCTTCAATGTTAATGGCAACACCAATCCAGTTCTTGAAATTGAATGGTAGACTTTGCGTTCTGCAATATTCCAATAGATAAATCTCTGAAGAATTGCCATTGTCGTTACTCAAAATGTTTTTAATGAAGAGCGCCTTCATTTTGGATTCCGGGTCAACTAATTGAATTCCTCCCTTATCGTAATCTAAGTAAAGCTGTTCACGGTTTGTTTTGAAAATATATTTGGCCCATAAAAACTGTCCTACAGCGGATTTGATTTCACCTAGCTGTTTCTGATTTGGTGGAACTATCTGCGCTAGATACCAAAATTTTGATAAAACAAAAGCATTTATCAACCAGCTTCTTTCTATCAAATTTAGGTTCCTCAGACTATGCATTTTTAACACCTGTTTGGCGTTGCAAATTATCCTGTCGTAGTTTAAACTTACTATTGAAGAAACTTTGCTTGTTATTTCAATTCCCAATATTTTTGTAGCGTCAACCTCATGAATTAGTTGTGGTCCTAAAGTACACCTATTCAGCCTGATAAAAACCGATTTGTTGAAATTTAATTTAATTTTACCCCACTTTTCAAAGGAATGTAAGATTTGCATGAGCAAATCAAATTCCTCATCGTTTTTAACAAATACATTAATGTCATCAGCATAAGCAATAGTTTTGATAAACTTATCGTAGATAAGTACACCTGAAATGCTATCACTAATTTTTTTAAGCAATTGCTCTATGTACAATACAAACAGGATCATGCTTAAAGGGCATCCTTGGCGAACCGAGCAGCCAATTTCAAACTCGTTAGTGAAAAATCCGTTAAAAAGCACGCGAGAAGTGGCAACACTGTAAAGATTCCTAATACACTGGATTAAACTATCTGGAAACCTAAAATGCCTAAGTACTTTCCACAGGTACTCATGATCAACTTTGTCGAAAGCTTTCTGGAGGTCTAAGCTAACGAGAGCTTCTTTAAATCTTACTGATTCTCTAGCACGCAAAATTACTCTTCGAATGTCTTTAAGGTTGTCTATGCAAGAATGCTTGGGTTTACAAGCGGTTTGTTCCGGTCCTAACAGATTTCCTAAGACCGCTTGGATGCGGAGAGCTATGATTTTAGTAAAAAGTTTGTAGTCGCAATTCAAGAGACTGATTGGCCTGTATTGATCTAGTTCATGTCTGCTGCCTTGTTTGTGAATAAAGTTATTATTCCTGAGGAAAACTCTTTGGGGGGACAATTGTTACCGGATAAATAACTATTGAAAATTAAAACTAAATCTTCTTTAATAAGCTCAAAATGTTTCAAATAAAATTCGTAATTTAGTCCATCAGGACCCGGACTTTTCTTTTTAGTGCACAGTTTAAGTGTATCAAAAATTTCATCGATCGTTATAGGTTCTATTAATACTCTTTGCTGCTCAGAGGTTAAAAACTTCGTTACGTGATTAATTGGATCGTCATTTGCGTTATGTACCAAAAAATTGTTAGTCGCTTGAAATTGAGTAGAATAATAATCAAAGGTGATGTCTTTCAATCTTGTTGTTTCTCCTGTAACTACATTTCCATCTAAAAGCTTTAAATTGTTTGATTTTGAGTGCCTTTGTATTTGCGCAGATACTTGGAAAATACTGATTGTTTCCTCTTGAGCAAATGAAAAGCTGTTCAATTTGCTGCAGTAGTATTTTAATCTATCATTTTCTATTTCCATCAACCGTGATTTTACTATACCGATGTCTTTGTGAACGTCTTCTCCTGAGCGCAATCTGATGTGTAAGTTAATCAATATTGAATGAAAATAACTTTTCTCTTGAGCTATTCTAAGATTGTTAGACCAACTTTCTGCTTTATAGAACTGTTTTGTTTTATTTTTAGCCAAATAGTTCCACCAACTGCTGCGATTTGTGCAATACATAGATCGAGATTTCCAAGAAATATAACTGTTAGCAAAATCTTCTACAACGCGTTCATTTTCTAAAATTGTGGAGTTAATTTTCCAATAGCCACGACCTTTGGTAGGTAAGCAATCTGGATCAATCTTAACCTTCAACACTACAGCACAATGATCTGAGAATGAAACTGGAACTGTTTCAACTAACAGAACTGAGTTTGAAAATTCTTTTGGTCCATAGAAACGATCCAGACGGGACGCTGAACCTGATCTAAAAAAAGTGAACTCATTCTTTTTGAGCTCGCACAAGATATCTTTCGATTGGAAAGATTCAACAACTCGCTGAAGACCGGATGACATATTTTTAGAATTCCCAAGAGTGTCCGATGAATTTAAAATACAATTGAAATCTCCTCCTAGTACAGAGTACTTAATTACTGGCTTGTTTATATGAACAGAAAGGTTATTCAAAAACAAATCCTCCCTTTCTTTCTTCTTATTTGTTCCTAAAAATGCATAAATATTTATGTAATTAATATCATTCACAATAATCGAAATTATTCGGCCATTGGGATCAAGAATAACATCCCTGTACTCAAACATTTTCCTCAACAAAATACCAGTACCCATTCCTTTGTCGTTCAGATTCACAAATGCATGATGAGATGGGATAAAGGCGAAGTTTTCGTAACATAGTTCTTGCAAGAGAACCAAATCAATCTCATGATTCCATACGAAATCCCTGAGTAAATTTTGATTAAGTACCGTCTTAGTACTGTTCAAGTTCACCGTTGCGATTTTCATTACATGATTCATTTTTAAAAATTAAATGCTATAACATAGATTGAACTATCTGAAAAAACGTAGAGGCTCCATAAATAAAACATCAGAGTTGAACGTGTTACTTATTTTTCAAATTCGCTTCAATATTTTTGATATCCGATGTGGCTCCGTCGTTGTTGAGAACGATCAGTTTAGACCTACCTCGAGTAAGCACGCTTTGTGATTCTCCAATACCTTTAGTCACTCCGGTAACCACCTTTACGCGCTCGGATTCGATGGAGCCATCAGATGACGATTCAGCATTAGCTTTACGCGATCGATGTGCTCGTTTACGGTCCTTGACCGTTTGAAACTCTTCCTCCCTGTTTTCCTCCCTGTCTTCCTCCAATGCTTCTGATCCCGATGAAAGATCATCATCGACTTCTGCTTTAGACAACGATCCAGAAAGTTGATCACCCGTTGGGATGTCCTTCAGCTGCTCTGCTTCGCCAACAGCCTTGGCGTCTACCTCCATAGAATTCTCACCTGTCTCTGCAATGGCGGTCGAGCCACCATCTTCCTTAACATTCTTCTCTTTTTCCGGTTTGGTTTTGTTCAACACAACCATTCCATTGTTTTCCACGACTTTAGGTTTCGGAGTGGGTCTTCCCGACCAACGGCCGGCTGCCATATCACTGAACAATGGATTGGATGAACCTGAACCTGATGCCCCTGGTTTCGTTTTGTTTGCCCCACTTGGCCCCGCTTGCTCCGATGTGTCTGGTTTCGGTGAACCAGCCGTGTCCGTTTCATCGTTCTGCACTAGGCGCTGAATGATGTTGCTACGTTTAGGGCAGTTAACCTTCAAATGCTCCATGCTTCCACAAACAAAGCATTTATTCTGTAGACCCTTATAAAACACCCGTGCTTGAAAATTCCGTACATGGATTGTCGCAGGAATGTCATGTTTGATTTCCATATGGACTCCGCGGACCGATGTCCAAATAGGGTATCCTGTCTCTACGCCGTACTTTTCACGTACCATCCTTTGAATGATACCGTACTTCGAAAGCACGGTGGATATTTCTTTGTCCTCAATCTCTGGTGGGAGATTGAAGATCCGGACATACCTGAACACCGCAGAAGCAGCAGAGAACGTAACCTTGGTCGACTCATACTTGCTGTAGTCAAAATCCATTGACGAGGGAAGACGTAGCAGCGCTCCCTTCAATTGTTCTTCCGTCTTAAACTTGATGATAATACAATGTTTCCTGGGATCTTTGTACATGGACAGGAGACCTGCTGCGTTCAGCCCCATCTTCACCCTCATGAATTGGAATATTTCATGATCCGTTGGCTCGTTTTTTCCAGGTCCGAAGTGAACTCACATCGAGTTGGCCATCCTA